AAAAAAAAAAAAATTATAGACAATTGCACTTATTTTCAACACGATATAGATTATTGTGTGGATATTTTTTGAGATTCCTCAAATGCTAAAGTCAATTTTAAAGATGATATAAATCAAAATTGGATCACGTAGCTTTGAAATATATAATATTTGTGAGGAATATTTGAACAAACAATTTAATTTAATACTATATACATTATACTAGGTCCTAGGTTACTAGGTATATGAAATATTTGTGTGCTATAAGCATAAAAATGTGTTATATTCTGTGGGTGTAATTACGTTCACACGGATGAATAAGATTTTCATAATATCACGCTTCATTAATTACAATAATATGCGTTATCATACTAATAATAAATCTAGTTAAATTCGGTGCACGCTTCTTACCAGAAAAATCTTTATCTTATTTTGTCTATAAAAAGTAGTGTGAAATTTAATGATTTTCGTAGGTGCCATTTAATACACGCCGCTTCTTTAATTACTTGATCATCACTCATTTAATTTGTGTAATTTTAATATCTCTAAATTATCATAATTTATTGAATTAATATTGTTAGAATATCACTTGTGAGTTGTCTCACATCGTTCATACATGGAAAATCGATCCACCTTATATGTCTAATGGTTTACTCCTTCTCCCACCAATTGGTTTTGGGATGGAACTCCACTTGTACTTCATATGGGCATTTTCCGCTTTTGGTGCGTTGGGATCGCACCCATTTTCTCCCAGTTTCTTTTATGGTATTAGAGTCGATTATATTGGGATCGTATATGAGAGCATGTTTCTAGTAGGGGCTTGGGGCACCAATTTTCCCCCAGTTTTTTTTTTATAGTACACTGCCGGTTCTATTGGGATTGGGACCGTGTATGAGAGTTTGTTTCTAGTAGGGCTTGGGGCACAAGTTTTCCCCCAGTTTCTTTCATCGTATCACTGTCGGTTCTATTGAGACCGTATATGGGAGCCTGTTTCTATTAGGGCTTGGGGCATCCAACTCTGTATATGGGCTTTAGTGCTGTTAAATTAAACGAGACTGGCTCGGCTCGGCTCGTTAAGGCTCGGTTCGACTCGAGCTTGAAGCCTTAACGAGTCAAGCTCGAGCTCATTTAAAGCATGTTTGGTTAACGAGCCGAGCTCGGCTCGGCTCGATAAGGCTCGTAAAGTGAAATTTATGTAATTTTTTATAGTTCGGCTCGTTAAAGCTCGATATCGGCTCGTTAAGGCTCGAGCTCGAGGCCTTAACGAGCCGAACTCGAGCTCGATTTTTGGCTCGTTTACTTAACGAGCCGAGCTCGGCTCGGCTCGTTAAGAGCTCGAGCTCAAGCTCAAACACCTTAAGCTCGAGCTCGGCTCGGCTCGTTTACAACCCTAATGGGCTTTGGCTACTTATTAAGAACTCACAAGTGATGGGGCGTGTTAGAATATCACTTGTGAGTTGTCCCTGCCGGTTCTATTGGGACTGTATATGGGAGCATGTTTCCAGTAGGGTTTGGGACACCCAGCTCTGTATATGGGCTTGGGCTTCTTATTAAGAACTCACATGTGAGGGGGCGTGTTAGAATATCATATTTGAGTCCCGTATATGGGAGCATGTTTCTAGTAGGGTTTGGGTCACCCAGCTCTCTATAGGTATTAGAGTCCGTTATATAAGGACCGTATATGGGAGTCTGTTTCTAGTAGGCTTGGGGCACGCAGCTCTGTATATGGGTTTGGGCTTCTTATTAAAAACTCACAAGTGAGGGGCATGTTAGAATATCACTTGTGAGTTGTCCCACAACGTTCATACATGAAAAATAGACTCATCTTATAAGTCTAATGGGTTACTCCTTTTTCCACCAATTGGTTTTGGGATGGAACCCTACTTGGGCTTCATATGGATTTTTCCCTCTCATGGTGCGCAGGGGCGAAACTAGAAAATTAGTTGAGAGGTGGCAAAAAACATGACATAATGGCTTCAAAATCGAACCCTAATGGATTCAGAACCGATAACATTCGGTAACCAATTTTGTATACCGTTACACATAAGTCAGTTCAGTTCGGTTTACTTTCTCATCGGTTTGGTTCGGTTCCGTTTTCAGTCAAAAAATTTCAGCCCTAGCATAGGCAATAAAAGAGATTTGAAGTATTTTATATGAGCCAATTAAAATTGTAGAATCATAATAATTAATATACAAAATTAATATTAAAATAAAAGAAATGTTGAATTGTTAATTAATAATAAAAAAATAAAAAAAGTGTTGAATTGTAAATTGATAATTGTGGACAAATTGGCGTGTGAGTGACGTTTAAAAACAAAAAATTTGGAGGTGAAAAAAATAAATTTAAAGGAGGACAAATTAAAAATTTTAATATTAATACTAAAAAAATAATATTT